CTAAAACTATTCCAAAAAATGAACAGGGAAGAAAACTTCCAAATACATTCTATGTGGACAGAAGTACCCTGATATCAAAACCACAAAAAGACACTGTGCCTGGGTGGCTCAGTTGGTTAAGTGTCTGACTTTTGCTCAGGTCATGATCTCAGAGCTTGTGAGTTCAAAACCTGCATTAGGATTTGTGCTGACACAGCACAGCCTTCTTCAGATCCTCTGTCTCTGTCTCTCTCTGCCCCTACCCTGATCACACTTGCACGTTCTATCTCTCTCTCCCCAAAATAAATAAACATTGAAAAAAAAATTTTTTTTTATTTTTTTTAACGTTTTTTTATTTATTTTTGAGACAGAGAGAGACAGAGCATGAACGGGGGAGGGGCAGAGAGAGAGGGAGACACAGAATCGGAAGCAGGCTCCAGGCTCTGAGCCATCAGCCCAGAGCCTGACGCGGGGCTCGAACTCACGGACCGCGAGATCGTGACCTGAGCCGAAGTCGGACGCCCAACCGACTGAGCCACCCAGGCGCCCCGAAAAAAAAATTTTTTAAAGACACTGTAAAAAAACTACAGGCCAATATCCCCAATGAACATAGATGCAAAAATCCTCAACAAAATACTAGCAAACCAAAACCAAATTCAACAATACATTGAAAGGATTATTCACCACACTCAAGTTGGATTTATTCCAGGATGGTTCAATATTCACAAACCAATCAATGTGATATATCACATTAACAAGAGGAAGGATAAAAACCATGCGATCATTTCAATAGATGCAGAAAAGCATTTGATAAAATACAATATCTGTTCATGATAAAAACTCTCAACAAAGTAGATTTAGAGAGAACACATCTCAACATAATAAAGGTCATAAATGAAAAACCCACAGCTGACATTATATTTAATGGTGAAACTGAAAGCTTTCCCTATAAGATCAGGAATAAGGATGTCCATTCTCACTACTTTTATTCAACATAATACTGGAAGTCCTAGCCACAACAATCAGACAAAAGAAATCGCATCCAAATTGGTAAGGAAGTAAAACTATCCCTATTTTCAGATGACATGATACTTTATATAGAAAACCCTAAAGACTCGACCAAAAAACCATTAGAAGTAATAAATGAATTCAGTAAAGTTGCAGGGTACATAATTAATATACAGAAACCTGTTGCATTTCTATAAACTAATAAGAAAGTAGCAGAAAGACAAATAAAAAAAATACTCCCATTCATAATTGCAGCAAAAAGAATAAAATACCTAAGAATAAATTTAACCAAGAAAGTGAAAGACCTATACTCTGAAAATATAAGACACTGTTGAAATAAACTGAAGATAACACAAACAAATGGAAAGATATACCATATTCATGGATTGGAAGAAGCAATCTACAAATTCAACACAATCCTTATCAAAATACCAATGGCATTTTTCACAGAATTTGAACAAATAATCCTAGAATTTGTATGGAACCACAAAAGACCCTGAAAAGCCAAAGCTATCCTGAGAAAGAAGAGCAAAGGCTGCAGGTATCACAATCCCAGATTACAGGATATATTACAAAACTATAATAATCAAAACAGTATAGTACTGGCACAAAAACATACATAGAGATCAAGAGAACAAAACAGAGAACCCAGAAACAGACCCACACTTATATGGTCAATTAATTTTTGACAAAGGAGGCAAGAATATGCAATGGAGACAGTCTCTTCGATATATGGTGCTGGGGAAACTGGACAGCTACTTGCAAAAGAAAGAAACTGGATCACTTTCTTATCCCATTCACAAAAATAAACTCAAAATGGATTAAAGACCTAAATGTGAGACCTGACACCATAAATTCCTAAAAGAAAACATAAGTAATAGACTCTTAGACATTGGCCTTAGCAACATATTTATGGATATGTCTCTTCAAACAAGGGAATCAAAAGCAAAAGTAAACTATTGGGTCTACAACAAAATAAAAACCTTTTGCACAGCAAAGGAAGCCATCAACAAACCAGAGAGGCAACCCACTGAATAGGAGAAGATACTTGCAAACAATATAACCAATAAAGAGTTAATATCTAAATTATACAAAGAACTTATATAAGCCAACGCTAACAAAATTATACTCTGATTAAAAAATAGGTAGGGGCACCTGGGTGACTCAGTCAGTTAAGTGTCCAACTTCAGCTCAGGTCATGATCTCATGGTTCTTGAGTTCAAGCCCCACATCAGGCTCTGTGCTGACAGCTCAGAGCCTGGAGCCTGCTTCAGATTCTGTGTCTCCCTCTCTCTCTGCCCCTCCCCCACTTGCACTCTCTCTCTCTCTCTCTCAAAATAAATAAACATTAAAAAATTAAAAAAAAAAAAAGGCAGAGGACCTGACTAGACATTTTTCCAAAGACATACAGATGGCCAACAGACACATGAAAAGATGTTCATCATCACTAATCATCAGGTGAAGACAAATCAAAACTACAGTGAGATATTGTCTCACACCAGTCTTAATGGATAGTATCAAAAGACAAGAAATAACAAGTGTTGGTGAGGATGTAATTGGTAAACGTAAATTGGTGCAACCACTATGGAAAATATTACAGAGATTCCTCAAAGAATTAAAAATAGAACTATCATATGATCCAGTAATTCTACTAGTGGGCATTTGCCTAAAAAAAGTGAAGACACCAATTTGAAAAGATATAAGCACCCCTATGTTTATTGCAGTATTTACAATACCTAAGATATGGAAGCAATCCAAGTATCCATCTATAGATAGATGAATAAAAAAGATGTGATATATATATATACACATATACATATACATATTTATTATTCAGTCATAAAAAAAGAATGGAATCTTGCCACTTGCAACAACATGGATGGACCTGAAGAGTATTATGTTAAGTGAAATAAGTCAGACAGAGAAAGACAAACACCACATGATTTCACTTATATGTGGAATCCAAAAAACAGAATAAACAAAAAGCAGAAATAGATTCATAAATATGGAAAACAAAGTGATGGTTGCCAAAAGGGAGGGAAATAGGGGTTCAGGTGAAATAGGTGAAAGGGACTAAGAAACTTCCAGTTACAAAATAAATAAGTCATGGAGATGAAAAGTATAGCATAGAGAGTATAATCAATCATATTGTAATAATGTTTTTAAAAACCCTACATAAAAAACATTATGCTTATAGAAGCAATCTCAAGTTTTTCATTAAATTTTTGAGAAACTTTATTTGGAAGTTTATACAAATTCAATATTTAATATCCTGAATATGTTTTCTTTTCCTCATTATATTATATAAATACAAGTATTTTCACCATGCCCCATTATAGTTGCCTCCAAATCTCCTTTAAATTTATCCCAGTGTGCTATACAACTATTATTTCTATGGATGTCATGATATGAAAAAAGGTTCAGAAGCACTGCTTTAGCTTTAGATAGGATTCTTTACCGGGGCCTCTCAATGGATTTCAGTGGGTTTGTGAAATGCGCACATATATCTTTCTTGAGAGATAGTTAATACTTTTCATAAGTTCTCAAAGCTTAAGAACCAAGTGACTCAAGAATTTCAAAAGTTCCCCTATAATTTCATCCCCAAAGAAGTGATGTTACAAGTTAAGGGTTAAAGGAATTCCAATAGCACAACTAGGCCTCCATTATCACAGGTGGGAAGAATAAAGGTGCTATAAATAGAACTAGGAGGACTTCTGTCTCTGGCTCCCTCTTTTGGGACTCCTGCTCTTGGCCTCTCTCTTCTTAAATTCAACTAACATATTAAGAGGATTCTAGGGTCTTTTCTGTTAGAAGTAAATACTTCCTCAGATCACCAGAAAGTAGAAACCAGGGTGGAATCCAGGGAAGACAGTATAGATTTCAAATGCTCACATTTGATCTAGCTCTGCAGCCAAAGCCTGAAAGGCAATATTGTAAAATGTATATTTGCCCAGACCTCTTCCTCTGTGTTTCTAAAGCACTTTGCACATAACTAGACTTCTCCTATATCTGTGTCTCCCTTGGGGGCCTAGCAGAGGTGACAAAATCCACAGTGCCACTCTGCCATACTGTCATTATTTGGTGTGTTTTTCCCTAACAGGTTTTGAGCCCCTGATAGACAGACTTTTATTTTGTTTTTAAAACAGTCTCTAGTATAAAATATACACTCAGTATTTTCTCAATTAATGACAAATAAATTAATGAACACGCACCATTAATTTCCAAATCTTAGTTTCCTTAAAAGGTTATATGCCAGGAAGAGATATTTCCTCTGTAAATTAATAAATTAATTTCCTGATACAAATAAACTTAATGTGAATCTGGGTACTTTATAATCCCAACTTTTTTATAATCCCAATTTTGACCAGGATTTTATCTTCTCAGATATGTTTAATAGAGATGTTCTGTATCTTCCTACAGATGACACATCTCTTGACCACTGATCTACTTCTCTCACTGTTGAGAAAGGCATGAATCATACATCTTTTTAGCCCTTTTTAGTCCCTTTTTGCTTGATGCTATTTTCTACACATAGGGTACACTCAGCAAAAGCTGACTGAACTTGGAACAAACTTCAAAGAATAATAAAGTTATCTTAATTACATACAAGGCTTTACAGATTATATAGGACTTTACCATGCATTATCTCATTTGATCACAAGAATCCTGTGAGTTAGAGCTCCATTGTAGAAACCAATGCTTAAAACGTTTAAGCCATTTGCATAAGGTTTTACAAATTGGAACTAGAAGCCAGGTCTTCTGACTCCTACAGTAGTGATCTTTCCCACTGGGAGATTAATGGAATTCTCTCATCTGCCAAAAGAATTTCTTAATATTATGTTGACACAAAACTAGATAGGCAGTGTTGCTATCCTGAGTCAGTAAGAAAATCAACATACAAGTACATTAAGACCTATTGATCTGTATAATATTTTTTCTAGAACAATACTTTGGCTTATAAACCACGTGTTTCATTTGAGTTCATTCAGCTTTCAGCTATGTATAGTTCTTACCTATGCATACAGCTTCCTGTGTGGTCTCCTAAGCATTGGTTCAAAGTTCTTACTTCTGAACTTTGTCTTGTCTTTTCCTGTTTACTTCGCAGCTCTGGGAAAAACACAGATTGTTTAATCTGTGAACCATACATCTTTGTTTAATTTTTGTCTCGCAGGCACTCTTGACCACCACCAGGGGGCAAAAGCCTTCCAGCTGGCTTCTCAGCAATTCATTCTACACAGGACTGTACAGTACAGGGACCCTCAGTGTCTGATTCTTGATGGAACCTCCCTGCTAATTATTTCAACCGCAGGGCCCCAGGGAGAGAACAAAGGCTCAGCACAGAGGGCTCTAGTGGCACTTTAACCATACAGCAGCCAGAAGGAGCACATGACAGTCCTGTCAGTTTAAAGGAAGCAATGAAATCCAAGAGAGTTTGAGTGACAAACAGGAGGAGGTGGCTTTAATAACTGCAAACTCCTTAATGTGTGTGTTTCCTCAGTTTTGATACATATGGTGGTATATTCCAGAGCGTCCACTCAAATTGAGAAATAGCTTTGTCAACTTTCTCTGTGTAAACAATCAATGATATTTGCGTAGTAAGATTTCCCCCCTTTTTAAATCTTGATTTTTAATTACTTTCTTCGCTTATGGTCTGCTAATGGTTTATCTTTTTTTTTTTTTTAATTTTTTAACGTTTATTCATTTTTGAGAGGGCGAGAGCAGGGGAGGGTCAGAGAGAAAGGGAGACACAGAATCCCAAGCAGGCTCCAGGCTCTGAGCTGTCAGCACAGAGCCCCATGTGGGGCTGAAACTCATGAACTGTGAGATCATGACCCAAGCCCAAGTCCGATGCTTAACCGACTAAGCCACCCAAGCGCCCCATGCTGACGGTTTATCTTTTAGATTGTTCCTTTAAAATATTTAATAACCTACATTTCACATTTGTCTATGAAACCTAGAGCCGAAGGAGAAAAAAAAAAATCTCAAAGAGCAAATGCTATTTAAGAGAATTTCTTCCCATCGGGAAGCAAGTGGGAGGTAAATAGCAGGTTGGACCCTTATAACTCTGTGAGCCCTGCTTTCTCGGCCTCCCGGGCGCATACTGTCTCTCTCACCTTAGGAATAATGAATGAGTGAGTCCTTAGGGGCCAGGGTAATAGAGGAAGTGTGAGGGTACCTACCATGAAGCTTCTCAGGGTATAATATGAAAAAGCTTTCTTTCTTTCACGAAGTCGCATCATAAAACATGGACTCTGAGATAGAGGGTGGTACAGCTTAGAAAAAGCCCCCGAGAGCCGGGTCAAAGGGGGATAAACTCGTCTCCTGGTCGCGCCACGAGGGTCTCTAGTCCAGTAAGCCTCACTCCCGCCTAGCGAAAGCCTTTGAAACCCCGCGGAGCCCCTTCCCACCAGACAACGTGTTTGCCTCAGGATTTTCACCTCAGTTTCCTTTCTCTAAGATCGGTTAAGCTGTGCGCCCCCACCTCATGAAATGGTCGTCTCTCAGGAGTGGGGACTCCAAAGGCTCCCAGAACCGGGGCCCCTCCCCCCATCCCAGTTCACAGCCTCCGGGCGCGGGCAACCGCGCGATTCCAGAGCAAAGGAGGAAACCCAGGAAGGGGCGGCGGTCAGAGGCGCAAACAACCGGCCGGCTTCCGGCAACTCAAGGGTTACGGCGAGGCGGCGGCGCGCGCCGAGGGGAGAGGCGGTTGCTGACAGGTGGCGCCTGCGCACTGGGAGCGCTCATTGTGCCCCGCTGCTGCCGAACCGCCCGCCCGCCCTCCCGCCGCCCGTTCGGCGCGTCAGTCGGCGAGAGTCCGGTGGTGGGTGCGGAGCCTGCGGCCGTTCCCTCGGCCTCTTCCTCCTCCCCGTTCCCCTCACCCCCCCTCCCACACCCCTTTCCCCATCCCGGCTCCGTCACCCTCCCGCCCCCCATACTCAGGACAAGAATGCCCTGCCCGGAACAACCTAGCAGCGCCTAGATGGCTTTGGTCACGGTCCAGCGGTCGCCTACCCCCAGCACCACCTCCAGCCCCTGCGCCTCGGTGAGTCCCACCCGGCGGCCGCTCCGCTCGCTTCTGTCACTGCGGCTCCGCTTTGCCTCAGCGGGTCCCGCCGAGCGCCACTGCGCACGCGCCGCGCCGCTTCCCAGGCCTTGGCACTCGGCTGCCGCGAACCCCCCCCCCCCCCCCGTGGCATGCTTTCCTACGGCTTGAACACTTCCTTTCGCGAATGAGTCATTCTTGCTTTTCACCCTCCCCCTTCCTTGTACCCTCTGTTGCTCTGCTGCAGGGAGAGGACGATGGGACTCCTGCGTTGCCCCTAACACACACCACATCCCTATACCCACACCCATTTCATGGACTCGTTCAGTATTCCCACCCTGCAACCCCTTCTTCAGGCTCTCCGGGGTATGTGCCTTCCCTCTAGTCACTTGCTGTCTTTCTTGGGCTCTGGTACTGTTTGGGCTTCATTGGATTGCTGAGCTGGTAGTTACTCCTTGGTTTCTTCCCTCCTCTCCAGCAGAGAGGTCTCTTTCTTGGACCTCTTACCTTTTCTCTAAGTAGTCCTGAAGCATCTGGCGCTGTTTGATAACCAGGGCCAATTCATTTACATCTTACAGGTATTAATGCCTTGCACTCATTGCTCATGATCATTCTTGTTGTTGGGTTGTGTTTGTATGCTTCAGATGCGTATGCCAGTGAAGCATGCTTCCAGAAGGAAAATACCCAATAACCAGCCTTTTCCTGCTGGGCCCTTCTTTGACTTGCTCCTAGCCCCACCTCCATCCCTTTACACCCCACTCTTTTAGGCTTTATTCTTGAAAATGCTTATTTAAAAAATAAAATATTGCATCAGTGGGGCGAAATGGGATCTTTAAAACATGCAAATGTTGTAGAAGGAAATAGAATGAAAATAATGAGCAACTGGAAAAGCCATCTTGAACTTCCTACAGAATTGTAATTTTTAAAACTGTGTTGGTGGATTTAGTAGTTTCAAGTTGCCAAAAGGTATTCACTAAACACTGTACCACCCTTCACTGTAAAACGTCAGGTTATTCTTTATATTTATATGTTCACTGAGCCGTGGGCTTTGATATCTTGAAAATACAGTGACTTGTGATTTCAACATAGTTTCCTGAATTTCAAAATTCAGTATAGTGGTGGTTTCTTTTTTTTCCCCCCTGAGCTTTCTTGTGAATTTTGTGTGGCCAAATTGACAATTATATCCTAATTCTAGAAGTGATTATATTTCGGGGGTTAACTTGTATTGTTGCAGAGAGCAGAACTAGGATCCTTGGGTAGAAGTTCAGGGAGGCAGATTTTCAATGATTGTAAGGAAGAAGAATCTTGTAACAGTGGAGTGGACTGCCTTGCAAAAATAGTGAATGTCCGTTGCTTAAAGTATTAAAAGAAAAGCTGGAGGACCTTTTGCCTGGAAGTTAGTATAAAGAATTCCTGCAGTGAGGGACTTCTAAGGCCTTTTCCAACTCTTAAGATTTTGTGATTTGAGAATAGTTGCACTTCAAAGGTGGTAAAATGTTTTTAAGGTCCTCTGAAGACAAGTATCATAGGATAGAAATTTAGTAAAATTTATTTATATGTAGTACTTTATGCTAGATTTTGGAAAGTTAACATTCCATCAGACCATTTTACTTCTCTTTACTAGTAAACCCTTTGAGAATAGTGGTCACCAGGTGTGATTTTGGCTGAGAAAGCAACTGAAAGTTAGTAGAGTCATGCAAATAAATACACTATAAACCAGTATTATAGTAACATCATTTCCCCTGGGCATTGTTTAAAACAGTTTATGCTATAATAATAACATACATATATATATCAAGTTATCATACTAAGTTCCTTGAGGTGAATGATTAGTATACAGTAAGGCCATATCTACTTGATATGACTTAATTAGCCAAAACTTAGTTATTAGAATATTGAGGTATAGTAATAGTCACTTTTGAGATAGGTAATTAAATTGATTATGTGGTAAGCTCAGTTGCTGAGCTGATATTTCTATGTCTACTTACCATGGTAACTTGGTTATTTCAGTTGTGTATGCATGGCCCTCGGAATCCTGGGACGTGTGTGTGTGTAACACTCAATAGTGTTTGTATGACTGATAAGCCAGTTACCTTTCCCTTTAAATTGTCTTCCTATTTCACTTCATCCAGCGCTGTGTTCAGCAGAGTTGTCTTGTGGTTCTTGTGTTCCGATATTTGGCTGCTGTCTGACCTGCGTATATTTGCTCTTGCATCTCTTGCTGCATGAATAGGTTAAGTTGTTTGTTTTAAAAGTAAAAGAGAGCAAAAAGAATCTAGAGAACCATGAAAGTAGAGATTTAATTTTGTGAGATTGGAGATTTAGATTTTTTAATTAATAATTTTAAGCATTTCATTTTACTTTTTCACTGTGGGAGGTGTAGGACATTTTAATACTGTCAGCTTTTCAATATTCATTTTGGGGATTAAAAAAATCTATTGATCATCTACTGGGTATGTGTGGCTGTTATAGATACTAACATGCATAAGACATTGACCCTGTCTATCAGGATCATGTAATCTTGGAGGGGGCAGAAAGAACAAATGTGAGATGAGAGGGTAGAAAAGGAGAGCGAGGGAAATGATACCGCATGTATATGAATAGCTGGTTTGTAATGGCCAGTATTGTCTGAATTCAGATTAAGATAAATTCACTACTGGCAATAGTAGAAGTAACAGTATCTCACATCTCTTGGGTTTTTGTCTGTGCCAGGCATCATGCCAAGTGCTTTACGTGGATTAACTCATTTACTCCTCACAATATGTCCAAAGGAAATTGCTATTATCCCTATCTTACAGATGAAGAAACTGAAGCAAAGAGCCATTAAGGAATGTGCCCAGTGTCACTTAGCCGTTGAAGATTTGTCTAACTTTAGAATTTTCCATCTGGTAATCAAAGAAAAGTACACATAGTAGGTGGATCTCAAACTAGGCCTTTAAGGATGGGTAGAATATGTATAGGCTGGGATAGAAGCTGGGAAGTAGAGAGTATTCCAGGTGGAGAGAAGCTATATTCCCAACACTTACAGGCAGAAAAGTACAAGGCATATCTGAAGGACTTAACTAGACCAGTTTGAAGAAGGATTTCTTTGGAAGAGTAGTAAGAGATAAAGGTGAAGAGGAAGCTGGGACTGCTTAGACTCCTGAGCTTAGGAGGTTGAACTTGATGGGGAAGGTAATGGAGAGTCTTCAGAGGTTTTGAACAGATATAATCACAGTGGTGTTTTAAGAAAATTGATCTGGCAGCTGTTGGCCAGAGGGATTTGAGAGAGGCAAAGGAAGGCCACGAGTGGAACCAGTTAGAGGCTATTGTGGTAGCTCAGGTGTAAGATAAAAAGGCCTAAACTGGGGATGTGAACTGGTAGTGGAAAGAAAGGGACAGATGTGAGGGATTATGGAGAAAACACAAAGGGCCTGGGAACTGACTGGATATAGGGGAGGAGGAATCAGAGATGCCAACTCTTGGAATGTATTGTTCTTCTAAGATAATAGATGTTTCCTAATTAATAGGAGGCAATTTAAGAATTATCTCTTTCCTTCTTTCTGGTATGAATTTTATGAATGGATACCTATGTTGATCCAGGGTCATATAAACACAATGAAATACTATAAAAATATTTTACTTTTGTGTAGTGCTTTATACTTTTCAGAGTGCTTTTGTGTTTGTGATCTACTTTAAGTCTAGAGCAGCCTTATAAGTTATGCAGGACAGGTACCAAGGTTAAAAGACTTACTGAAGGTTACAAAACTGGTTGGTGTAAGAACCTGCACTAGAACTAAGTTCCTTGGCTCCTAGTCCACATTTCTTTCCATGGTGTGAAACAGCATATGAGTTTCTGATCCTGAGAACTTGACTGCCAGTATAGTAAAGAAATCAAGACTTAAGATACAATCAAGAACTCCTCTTTGCACTTCATTTATATTGTAAGCTTAACTAGAACAGAATCATCTAGGTCTGTGCAAATCATTTTTAGGTGATACCCTTATTTGAAGCCTATTATCTCTTAGTTTATATATAATTCCTAAAACTTGGATATTTAGTTTTCTTATTCTTAGAAGATTATCAACAGCAAAAAAGGAATGGAAAGTGTGGCAAGTGCTGCTAAAGACAGGCAGCTAATAGTTCTGGGAAATGATAGCTGATGGTTTTATAGCAAGGGAGGAAGAAGATGATTTCTAAATAACTGGCATAAGAAAAAATTTGGCAGTTATGAACTACTTAATGTGAGGACAAATCCCTCTCTAAGATGACCCTGAATAATCATAATAAAGCTTCATCTTATTTTCTCTTCATTTAAGCAGTCAGGATTGAGTGAATTGTACTTTTAGATAGACATCCATCCAATTCTTACTGAAGTTTTGATGTTTATAATGTACATTTTAATTAAT